GCGGCCGTCATTAAATATTATGGCTTTTTTGTTTTTTGTTTTTTTTTTTTAATTTTAGCATTAAATATAAACATTGAACCCACAAGGAAAAGGCGACACCTGAGGCCCACTAACCAACCATTTGTCTCGTACCTTAAAATCCTCTATATAAACAACCACTCGTTTTGTTTATCGAACCATATCCATTTTCGACGCCATGGCTAGCACTAGTGGTTTCAAATCTATATTTTGTGTGCTCATACTGTTATCTATGTGTTTATCTAGTTTGCAGGGTTCACGTTCGTTAGACAGGTATTCTGTTGACGTAAAGGTTAAAACTGATTCACGTAACATATTGAATAAGCATGGGTTTGATGAGTCGATGTTACAATATTACTGGAGGAGGGCAATGTCGGAAAGTGCTCCCGACAGACTCGCCCCTGGAGGTCCCGACCCTCATCATCATCTCTAAAGTTACTACAGGTTTGGGTTTGTAACAGTACTTTATTAATGTAATGACAGTTCCGTTGCGTTTCTATATGAAATTCTCATTTGCATCTTTATATATTTATTTATTTCCAAAATTAACCTCGACAAGTGTCACAAAATAGTAGATGGTTTATGAAGCATAAAATGTAACTCAAAATATAATTTCAGCTGGTACAACGATAAAATATAGTCTTTAGAAACATTACGTTTCTCGTTCAATTGAAGTGATGCATCATCACATACAACTTTCTCACATGCCTCCACAAACGTTTGTTTTTTCGTCTGGATTGAACATGTAGCCAGAATAATCATTTCGAACCATGACCCTGGTTTTACTCGGATGATTTGTGGTCAAAAACGTCTTTTTCACAATGCATAGCTTCCATTAGCGACAAAACGAACCCCACCCATGAGGTCTCAAAGTCGGGCTTACAGATACATCAATGCATTGTAATACTGAAATAATTGTATCGGGTATATGATACCCTAAAGCCTTCACATTCGGGTACTATCAAAGCTTATGGAACGTTTAAATACGGATCATGGACCCTAACCGACTAACAACAACTACAAGCCTAGGAATGTGGTTGATATATAATTGAAGGCTTCACAAGGGAGTTGCGGTTGCAAATGAGTTGAACCTCGCTCGAGTTTAACTGTATTGAATAAGGCTAGTTTGATTTAAGTCTGTCGTGAGTTTTGAAGTTTTCAGACTTTTTCCATATTTTCATGTAACCTTGCATGCTTTAAGAAAAAGGAAAAAAAAAAGTCAAAGTCCATTAAAATTGGGGGTGTTTGTGTTCTGGTTTGAGCGGTTCAACCCCCAAATCACAAACCAAATCGCAATGACAATTTAGGAAAAATTTCAAACTGAACGGTTTGACAATAGAGTACTAAACCGGTAAAACTAGACCATAAAAAGACAATTTGTTCTGACAGGTTTAGACGGTTTAGGGTTTTTATAGGCTTTAAACTAAAAAACTTAACATTTATATTCAAAATGAAATTTCTATCAATACAAAATTATTAAAAATAGTGTATCGAAAATATTTATCTCTAAAATTATTAAAATATTGAGTAAGTTGAAAAAAAAATTAAACAAATTCGCCAACAATAATTAGAATGTTGGCAAAACATTGAGCAAGTCGAAAGACGTTTAGAAATTTGGACTGACTTTTGAAAAACTTTAGAACTTTGCCAATTTACAGAACACGATCAATTGGAAATAAAAACTAAAAACATAGTGTCTTAGACGAACTTTTTTAGTTTGTCCATAAAAGTTGAGCCTACAACATAAAAAACTAACTATAATTACTGCATGCATATTCTTGGCGGTCGGTTCAGTCCAAATCGCTAAAAAAACATACAAACCGCAGATCGGATTGGAACGAGTGTTTTGACTATTTTCCAGATTGGACCGCCAAAACGGGTCTGTTTGACTTGGTTCGACTGGTTTGAACGGTCCAACAGTTTTTTTGAACACCTCTAATTAAAATGTAATGAAATTTGTCTTGCTTTAATGTAATAAACGTTTAATTCTTTATGTTACATACTTATTTTTGAGCAGTGAACGGTGAATTCTGCAACTACCAGTTACGTGAATGTAAAGTTATCGATTTATGTTACAAATCTTGATTACGTAACAAATGTCTCATAAAAAAAAATTTGATGTTGTGCAAGCTGAAATCTCGTTTATCATATAAAGTGGATGAAAAATAGAAGGAATTGAATGTTTGTTATATTAACCGAGGAAAAAAGTTCATGGCCACAATAAATTGTAACCAACGCAAACTTGGTTTCATTTCGATGTTTTTTGCTCTATAAGACGCAAGAGTATTTTGTATAAAACAATATAAACTTCCCTTTTGAATTTGAAATTTATCAATCAGATAAACAATATTAATTTTATTTTCATGAATTTTGTTTTATCCTTATCATTTTAATAATCGGTTCATCTAAGACGGTTTTTGACATAATTGGTTAGGGGTTTTTGATAAAACGCAATCTTCACAAGAACAAGACGAATTATAGGCCAAGGGCGGAACCCGTACATTCCTCTATTGTAAGCTAGAAAAATTAAAATTAAGGCTCGTGAAAGGTACAACTGTATTGTAACGTTGTGTTTCACCGCGTATATATTAAAACCATGATAGTAATAGAAGTTTGTTTTTGTAGAGTTGGTTTGAACGATTTTTGTAAAGAAAACAATTGCAATAAAAGACTCGAACACATAACCTCACATACAAAAAAAATAAAGAACTAACCAACAAACTAATGACGATTTTTTGAAAAATCTACATAGCTTCCGTTTTTATAGTCAAATGGTGTCACCACTCGAAAAAATCCCTAGGTCCGCCTCTGTTATAGGCTTTCAGGATAACTAGTTATTAGTTTAGTCGAGTAATCGAGGGTTCGTGAAATTTTATGAAATGAAACTGAATGTAACAACTGATTGATTGCCAGTCATCTTCAAACATAAGAACAATAATATCACCAATTGTAAAATTACGACAACATGAACTAGGCGCTGATGGATATGCTTATGACATGATGTTCTCGGTCTTTGTATGCCATAAAGGCACGTTCATTGTTCAATTATCATAATTAAACCCGACAATCATAAAAAAGGTGCTTTCATGCCATATATAAAGCGTGTAATAAATGTCCCAAATTTATAAGAAATAGAGGGGTGACTATAACAGTTTCCAGAAAGAATATTAACACCGTCCAGTTAAAGAAACAACGATTCAAATCTTTAAACAGGAAAAATAGCAGCTCTTTGTTATTTAAACTTTTGATTTAGCGAAGTTACCAAACAACAATTTTTTATTTTTTATTAGATTATACAAAACTTTTTAATTATTCTCACTGGTTAATCATTATGCACCAAATTATTCAGCATTTGTCAAACAATCTTTAGTTGAATTCATAAAATTAAGGGTATGAATATATCCGAGACAAAGAAAAGTTTACGGCTTATTAAAATGTTTTAAATATATACATGATGGTTATGTATGGCAAACTAACCGATAATTGATATGTTAGGGAGTGTTTGGTTAGAGGTATTAAACAATAATCAATGTGAATGAAAATTAAAGAACTGTTCAATTTTATATAATATAATGAGTTTATTCCTCCATAAGCCCAAAATTTCATTTCTGGTTAAGCCGAGGAAAATGAAAATTCATCCCATTTTCATTTTCATTTCCTGTCATTTTCATTCATCAGCATTGCCCAAACAGAACCTTAGTTGTTGATTATTATGTTAGTTGTATAGTTGTTGGCTGATAAACAATCATTCATGAGCTAGATAGTAATGTAAAATTTATGAGTGGCAATTTTGTATCAAACCAAACCAACTAACATGCGTACCAACCTCACCACTTAAATCGGTACATTAGTCGGTACCAATTTTGTATCAAAGGAAATGCTTTCAGTAAATTCCTGAAATGAGCTTAGCTTATTCGTTACCAAACATGTTTAATACATAAACTTTGATTAAGGTTATGCACACGCAAGGTTCTAAATGGCGTGAGGCGTGGCAGGGAGGTCAAGTCTCAAGATTTACGAGTTACGACGAGACAATAACATTTTCCAAGCATGACTTAAGGCGGTAAATATGTATATATGTGTGTGTGTGTGTGTGTGTTTTTATATCAGTGTTTTGAACAATAATGATTAAGTTATTAACAATTTAAATTCATATAAAACGACAAACAAAAAAAGAACCATGAATTAATGATTTGATATCAAATATATAAAGTTTACAAAAATGATATCAAAGATACAAAGTAAGTCACTGCTTACAATCCATATTTGGTAACCAAACAACAAAATCAAAGTAATGACATCAAAGAGCAACAAATGAAAGTAACTGAACAATATTTTTGGTATGCTGAGAAGTAATTTAAGAGTTTTTTTTCCTCATTTTGTTGATCAAGTATCTGACATCTATTTCAAGTTTTTAAAAATTACAAATTTCTAACATACGCATTATAACGTCATATCACTTTTCACGTCATAATGTGCCATGACGAGTTATAACGCATTATATTCATGCCAAGGGGGTTAACGTAGCGGCAAGATCATTCATCGATGCCATAACACGCCATGACGGGTGTCATAACGTGTTTTTAGAACATTGTGCACATGTAAAATGTTATTATGAAAAGGCATGGGATGATTTTGTATGTAAATTATTTAGTAATGAATGAAATGTAAAAAGACAATAGTTGAAGGACCATTTATGGAAGTTATTGTATAACTTATGTCTGGAGTGGGGGTACGTGGCAGAAAACCCCCAAATTCCATCGAAAGGCGCGTCTAGAAAAACATAAAAACCGCAATAAGCAAGGCGCTCACGTTGTTGTATAAAAGACAGTGGAGCGGCTTTGGTCAGACGCAAACCCAAGCGCGTGTTGTTCCAAATTCATCAGCAAGAAGAGCGAGCAGAGTTCGGATCGATTGCTCCCTTCTGAATCGTTGTTTGAATTTTAGGTTCCCCAAGAACTCGAAACCTAAATTTATATTTTTTTTCATATATATATAATTTTTTTTTTTAATTTTCTATTTTAATTTTATTAATTTTTAATTTTGATTTTGGTTTTCTTTTCCCTCTTTCGTTCCAGATTAGGTAGATCATCATACCCGCTGAAAACCCTAATTCCGTACGGATTTTGATCTCTGTTTTCCTCGGATTTGAAGGCTTTTAGCCCCAGATCTGATGTTAGGTTCGATTTCTTGAAATTCTAGGGCTTGAATTTCAGGGTTTCAAATTCCATGTTTGATTTATCGTGATATTGTTTGTTTGTGCGTCGTTTGAAAACCTAACTTTGTTGAACAAATTCGATTTCTTCCTTTCTATTTGGGGAAATCGGATTTTTTTTCTCTGAGAAGGATTTGAGTTTGTGATTTCTGTTATAGCGGGGGTGTTCGTATATGTATGGCTTCAGGGATATTAGATGCGGACAAGATAAGCAAAGGGAAGAGTAAGTGGGGAGAGGGTAATAAAGTCTACACAAGAAGGTTTAAAAAGGCCAACAAGAACACCACCGCCGCCGCCGCCCCCGTCACCGTTTCTTCCCCAACCACCACCGTCACCACCACTTCTCTGCCTACTACCAGAACCGCCACCGCTGACCCAGCTTCTCCACCCGCCACCACAAATAACGAGCAAACCCTAGCTACTGAGGACGCAAATTCGGAAAAGCAACAGAATTTATCGCCGGTACTTGAGGTATCAGATGATCATTCCATCCAAAATCGGCAGCTTGAAGTGCTTGCTGTTTCCCCGAATGAGCCCACCAGAAACGGGGTAATCAAACCGGTTGCTATTCTGGTGGATGGTCGGGTCAAGATTAATGTAAAAGCTGCGAGGTCTAAAAATGAGATCATTGAGCTTAGAGAGAAGCTAAGAGCTGAACTTGATCGAGTCCGGCGTTTAGCTCAAAAGCTTGAAGATAAAGAAGCTGAGCTAACTGCCTTTTCAACAGTTGTTGGTGTTGGTGGCGACGGTGAGGCTTACAGTCATTCGCAGTATTCAGGTAATGATATAGTGGAGAGAAGATCTCTGCTTAGAGTGAATTCAGAAATGGGTACTGATTTCATGGAGAGGAGGGCTTTAGTAAGAGTTGATCGCGAAATGGGTTCTGATGTGATAGACCGGAGAGCCTTGATGAGACTAAATTCTGAAGTTGGTTCAGTGGCAAATAGTGATATAAGGCCTTTTAGGCCACTAAGTGTATCAGTTGTTGATAACAACCATGGGGTTGGTGAATTTGTTGAGAAAGAGAAGAGGACACCAAAGGCTAATCAGTATTATCGGAATTCAGATTTTCTTCTTGGGAAGGACAGATTACCTCCTGAGAGCAACAAGAGGCACAAAGTTAATGGTGGAAGAAAGCATAGCAAGGAATCAGATTACAGTATTGGTCATGAAAGGCACAGGACTCAAATGTTCAAGAGTTGCAACAATTTGCTGCAGAGATTGATGAAGCACAAGCATGGTTGGGTGTTTAATGAACCTGTTAATGCAAAGCAGCTCGGATTGCACGATTACCATGACATCATTAAACACCCAATGGACTTGGGCACAATTAAGAGCCGGCTTGCCCAAAACTTCTACAAGTCCCCCAGAGAATTTGCGGACGATGTCAGACTCACATTTCATAATGCCATGACTTATAATCCAAAAGGGCAAGATGTACATGTTATGGCAGAGCAGCTATCAAATATTTTTGAAGAGAGGTGGTCCGTGATTGAATCTGAATTCAATCCAGACTGGAGATATGGAATGATTTATGATGCAAGCACTCCAACACCCACTTCAAGAAAGGTTCCTCATTTTGCACATGCCCCTCCAAGGACACTGTATAGGTCAGAGTCCATGACCTTGCCTTTCATGACTAGGCAAAAACCCTCTAAATTTGCCCCACCTAGCAGGACACCCATGCCAAAGAAACCTAAAGCCAAGGATCCCAATAAGAGGAATATGACTTATGAAGAGAAGCAAAAACTCAGCACAAACCTTCAAAGCCTACCTTCTGAAAAGCTTGACAACATTGTCCAGATCATCAAAAAGAAGAACACCTCACTTTCTCAACATGACGATGAAATCGAAGTTGATATTGATAGTGTTGATATAGAAACTCTCTGGGAGCTCGACAGGTTTGTCACAAATTACAAGAAGAGTTTAAGCAAACATAAAAGGAAAGCGGAACTTGCTCAACAAGCAAGGGTGGGAGCTGGCAATGCTAATCAAGCCGTGTTAGAAGTACGGATATATAATTCTTTTTCTCTCATCATACACAGAAGTTCAATGTTAAAATGCATGATTTGACCATATGATATTGTTAATGCAGAACTTGGCAACATCCATTCAGCAGGCCCCAAAAGAAAATAAAGCAAGTAAGATTATCTAAGAATCATGATTAATTGCTGTTTCTGTAGTTCAAATGTTTGTCTTCAAAGGTTGATCACCAATTGCTAACAGTGTATAAATGGTTCTTCTGTTTAAGCAGATGAGAAGACTCTTGCCAGTACTCCTCCCGACCAGGGAGAGAGGAGAGGAGATAATGCCAGTAGGTCTAGTAGTTCAAGCAGTTCTAGCAGTGACTCTGGGTCCTCTTCAAGCGGTAACTAATATTGGTTCTTTTTGTCCATTTAATGGATGATTGTTAAGTCATAATGAACTTGCTACTTGCATTAGTGTTGGTAGTGGTTTAATTTATGTGGATGTTAATTCTGCTGAGTCAACATTTTCAATGTTCTAATCCTTTTGATGGTCCATGCAGATTCAGATAGTGATAGTTCCTCTGAAGATGGATCGGATGCAGGTCATTCACCTAGAAGTTGAATGGCATAGATTAAGGTAGCCATCACGTATTAGCTAATGAATCTTGTACATTTCCCATTCTTTTGTGTTATATGCTAGTTTTTACTTCCACTGTTTCATACATGATGACTTAGGTTCTTAATAGCTCCTTTTGTTGTAATTAGAAAATTGTTATTTCAAACAGTGTTCCAAAATCGACGATTCGACACATATCTGGATGGTTGAACCATCTTATCGGTTGTACTTAGGAGTCGAAAGATAACTTTTTGTTCATTGCTCATGTTTATTGATTGCTCATGGTTATTGAGACTGTCTACTCCTTATTGCATCTTGTGTTCGGAGACCGGTAAGTTGGAACTTGGCTAGTTCCTCATATAGGATATAAATGGTATTTGTTGGCCTTTCTAGTTGAAGGCTTCTACTTTTGTGGACTTGTACTTGAATGGAACTGGTTACAGATTAGCTTATGTGCTTTCTTCTAATGCTTTTTGGATCTTCGAATGTAGTATTTAGTGTTTTAGCCATATGTCACTAGACATTCTCACTTCTGGGCAATTGATAAAATCATGTTGATGGAATTATGTATTTTTCAACTTCATACCCTGTGTATAGATGGAAGGGAATGATGTATGTTGGTACTTGATGTTATCGATTTATGTTGAAGTGGTAAAAAATCCTTCGTAGTTTTACATTTCTCTGTCTTTGCTACTATCATTATATATTTTATACAAGGGAGTCTAAACATGTTTGTGCTCTGTTTCTTAAGTTGGACCTACAATGTGAGGTGAGAGCTCATTGTTAATGCTTACTAGGATGGGAGGAAGCGTCGGTCAGCAAGATTTGTTACTTCAGATAAATTGTTTTTGAGTCAGAAATCCTTTTTTTGATGGGTTGATGAAGTTAAAGATACTTGAATTTAAAGTAAAGAAAACAAAGAAGTGTCACTTGATAGGAGGGTAAGATGAGAACAAGAGTGTAACAAATAAGATGCCTCCTATTTGAACATGTTTGTTAACATAAAGAGAAGGGCGAGAAGTGTTTTGGCCGAAATTTTGTCTTGTGACGATCTTCGGTTTGGATTCGAATGATTAGACAGTTATGTTGATAAAATTTGTCACAATTAGGAAAAATAGTAAATAACAAAGCACACAACAAATTTTGACATGGAAAACCCCAAAGGAGGGTAGAAGTCGCAGGTGATGTCAAGTCAACGGTCCACTACTCAAGAATCAAACTTGACGTCATTGCGGTGCATAGTAAAATGACAGCAGTAAATTATGGTCGAATCTTAAAGATAAAGTGATGAAGGCTAGAATCTGTCGTCTGATGGATTTTTCGCAGGTTATCCTCGTTTTTATAGTTCGGTCGCCGCTTCTTTCTATTGGTAGCTACATCCTGGAATCTCGGGATAAGTTAGTTGTGATCTCGAGATTGGGGAACACCTGGAGTCCTGACCGATTCCCCTTTTGACTCTTTCAACCCTCCTCTGGCTGGACTCACTGTTCCCAACTGACTGCACGCGTCGTTATGGAAGCTGCTGTCGTCATCTCGTGGTGAGGTCGGCGGCATTATGCCATCGGGCAAGATTTTCCACCATAACAAGTACTAGCTATCCTATAAAAATCATAATTCCAGAGAAAGTAATTGATTTGGGATGTTAGATATTTTATCAAGAACAAGATGCAATACAAGATTGATTATAGTAAGCAAAAGCAATCTTGCTAGACAAACTTCAGCCCCTTGGAAATGACCAAGTTAGCTTGTCATCTTGGTGTTTGATTCTTCATTCTAGAAGTCGGACTTCATGGTGACGCGTGGTGAAACGTGAGGGTTGATGATGGAAGATGTTTTTGTCTCTTCTTTCTTGTGTCTAGATACATTAGGAGTAACTTGCAACTGCCAAAATGCAAGGAGTGAATCGGTCTATGCATTAATGTGAGCGAGTGTTGTCATGATATTTCTTAGAATGCAATGAAATGTAGTAAATATCTTCCTAAATGGTACATCCACATAAATGGAACGTTCAAACCAAGTGTCAAAAGGTTTCCGAAGAGCTCAAAAAGCAAAATTTGGATGCTGGGTGCGCCCCTGTATTTGATGATGGCCATGGGCAACGCTTGACGCTTTTAGTTCTTTGCTCTTTGTTGTTTTAGTCTAAAAACTGTCATCATGTTTATTATAACAACAGAAGATGATATAAAACACGCAAAAGTGAAATTGAAAATGCACGATTTAATGTACCTTCCGGGAGCTAAGCTCATAAAATGAATGAGAGTTCAGGGTCATTGTTTAGAAGACATAATCATAGCTTTGAACTTTGTAAAAAGAGAATATTATCTTAATGCATTTGACAAATTTGCATTATTTAGAAATAATCGAGTTCAGTAGAAAGTGAACAATAAGGCCATGACCTGAAAACCTCGACAGCATTAAAGCCGGGGTCTTTAAGGAAGCTTTTTAGCAAGCTGAGGTATAGGCTCATACCATCGGAGCTAAGCATTGATGACACGAACTTGTTGAGAGAAGTCTTCCTCTAATTTATGGTAATTATCAGTGCAAGTATGAGTACAAGTGCATGCTGCATGTAGTTGGCTATATATATATATATATATATATATATATATATATATATAGACAGACGAAGGATCGTGTGAGAATAGGAGTTAAGGTGAGAAGTATAAGAAAGGATTTGGACCCTTGATCACTTTAATCCCAAAACAATCCATGAATTGCGCTTCAGAAGGGAATTGATCTAGTGTATCTCATTAGTATTCTCTTCTTACCCTTCTCACCATAACTTTCTTTCTCACTGGAACCCAACTCTCTGCATATATTCGATCCGGGGTATGAAACCAAACTGCTTATGTAGTTGAATACATCTGTAGATGTTATGAAATTATATGATCATATCAGTAGCACAAGATAAGCGTGTGTTTAGAGAATTAATAGCTTATTGTCCGTTTCCAGTATTCAATAAAATAGGTAATTTTAACTTGCTCATATGGGAAATAACTTATATTAATCGAGTATCTAATGAACTAGGTAATTTTAACTTGCTTATATAGAAAAAAACTCATCCCGACTTAAAAAAGGAGCCACCAATGCTTGTGAAGGCTGTAGCAAAGACCGTGCTTGTTAAGTCTACCCACCAAATAGGTAATTTGATCTTGTGTTATGAAGATGAATCGGCTTTCTAGTGTTTGAAGAGGTATGCTCTAAAAATTTGCCAAATTAGATCACTGCTGCTGGGTATTCCGTCTGCAAATACACCACAATGGATCTGACCATGCAATTTGTATATCAGTGCAGTATCGTGTCTAGATAATTGGGTAACAGAGTAAGAATAGAAGTATAGGAACAGAAGCGGAAGTCTTAATTCACTAGCGATATCGAATTTAACGGTGACCCTTTTCTAGAAAATACGAATCTATCAAGTTGGTGAACAATGGTGACAGAAAGTTAATTCGTATCCAGAAGAGGAATAAAAACAGAAGGTTTAATGCACTAAGAGACCGGTGATAGATGCACAACTTTGAACTTTATTTATTTATAAGCAAATGAGCAACAATTTGGCATATTCAGAAGTAAAATCCGATCATGATCCAATATTATTGGATGTCAATTGTTGAAAAGCTGTAGATCACTGTTGAAGCTTGTGTAGGGCCTGTTTGTTAGCACAGCTTAATGAGCTTAATGAGACTCACAACTTATTCAGTCAACTATACATGACTGTTTGGTGGTGGGTGGCTTTATGACATAGAAAGTGGTTTATTCAGCAAGCTTCTATGGGGAGCTTTATGCAGAAAGCCAAGTTTTTTCCAAACCTGCCCCTCCGATAAAAAAACATGCTCCTTCCATCTATGGAAAACCTCCAATCAAAAACCTTCCCAATATATACATATAGATTAAGAACACGCTCAATTTGTTATGTCAATTAACAACTCTGTTTATTTTTATATTTGTATTAGGTTACTATTTATGCTGGTAGTCGTTAATTCAGTATCATTGTCCCTTGATAGTGATCTCTTGAAATGAATGCTAAATCTCTTTTAACGTTACTAGTCTACCATACTTGCATAGTCATTTACATTCTTTCATGACCTACCTGATAACTGCATTAGTGCTAAATTCCCAATGCTAATGTGGCTAGTTACAAGGCGGTGTTAGAATATTGAATGCTTAATAATCAAGACTGCAAATCAAGAATTGGAAAATATGGTGGGATGTGATCTACGTTTTAGGCCTTAACGTTTCTTAGATGTTTAAATTAAGAAAACCATGTCAAGAATATGGTGCCTTTTTCCATAATAATCAGTAAGGTGACAACTATCTTTTTGAGCTTGGTTAAGTACTTGAAGGTACCAAGAAAACCACTTTGTAGGCTATGCTGTTAGCTTTATAAGGAAGACAATGCAAATGGAAATTAGAATGGAGAAAGAGATAACTTTGTAGGGTCTTTTTCTCGTGACATGCTTATTCTTTAGCTTGCAGAAAGTTGCATTCGGTTGTTGGTTGCCAACGTTTTAAGTTTTCTTAGCTTTTGGTTTTCATATGTTATTCTGGGAATATATGTTCAAGTTTTAGTCATTAGGGACGGGTTCAAATAAGAACCGTAAATATTTTTGAGAACCTCGGATTCATGAATTATTCATAATGAATATCGTGATAGATATTCATGAACAATGAAGGGCATCATATTCATGAATATGTTTCAGGACTATTCATCATGAATTGTTCATGAAATAGTTGATTTCCAGGTTCTCATTCCTTCTTTATTCACTTGGAAATGGACAATCTCTTCTGTTTTCTTGTCTGGATGTGTTGATAAATTTCAGTCTTCTGTTTTGCAGTTTGTTGCAGATTTTCATCAACTGACAGTCTCCTAACGAAGAATGTTTCTGCAATGGCCGACCCAACCACATGATGAGCTGGTAATGCTACTGCTACCTCTGAAAGGTGTTTGATGTTGATTTGTAATTAAAGATGGTGGCTTTTTATTAGAAAGTAGGGTGTATGATATAAAAAGATTGGTTGTGGTTGTGGCCGTGGCCGTGGCCGTGGTTGTGTAGCAAAATGTAAAAATTGGCTACAAATTTTAGGTTTCTCAAAACCTGTGGTAAGGGCCAAACAACAGAATGCAGTCGGATTGTTTTGAGGTGGCTTAGACTTTGGAACCACAAAATGCCATATTCTTCATGATGGGGTGGTTGCATTTTTTGTATCGGTTCATAAAATATCGAATGAAAACTGTAGGTAGCGTGCAGCCGTATATAAGTTGCTTCATTTTTGTGTTGGTTAGTTGTACCTTTGTTCCTTAAAAGTGTATGTAATGTTTATTGGTTGTCAAAGTTGTCTATTTAGCCTTTGAAACCTCCTTTTGCCATTGAATGAAGGGAAGTGAAAATGGTAGGAGGCAAACATCAAAAAGTTGCATTATTTAACACTGATTCAGTAGGGGTATGTTGGGGTTTGGACGAGACAGGCAAGGGTGAGGTAGGCAGATGAAAGACTTGTGCAAGGTTTTAGTGTTTTAATTTGACATGAGTAGTTTAGTATTTTGCTATCTCCTCTTTTATAATGTTTTGGTTTCATCTGTTTTGTCCTATCCCAATGTAATGTCGCTCTGAACGTGTGATAACAAGTTTTTGTTATGTTCGGTTTTGTGTAACCAAAACGGTCTTAGTTGTAGAACCAAAGTAATTTGCAGTCTAAACAATCTTACTTGGGTTGTGGTTTTGTCTTCTCTGGTTTGAATCCAAACTTTGTAAAAGCTCTTCTAGCCATGGAGGTTCAACTGCAATGACCTGTTGCAATTTGTGGTTGAATGAGGGGTAAAGGTGATGGGAGTATTTGGGACATTAATGGGTGTAAATTGGATGACTTGATATATGCGACATAAAATTGTTCGCTTATTGTCGTTAAAGGTGACAGATTTGGCTTGTTAATGTCTTAAGTTGGACTTAAAATTTAGGGGTTGTTTAATAAATGTTAACAGGTCAAACATTTATTTTGTTAGGGGTTGTTTGTTTGGTTTAACATTAAGTCCTGTATGGATAAATTGGTTTGTGTGGATTAATCTATCTGTATAAATTGGGTGGTTGGAGTGTTTTTTTCATAGATGGAACGAGCGTATTCTTTAATTCAATTGTCAAGAAGCTTATCGTGATTGAAAGTGGTGACTCTTATTACCTAAGCGCCTACTTACCCGATAAGAATTTGATAAATGACAACTTAATTATATAATACTTGTATTTTTGGAAGCCTTATTTGTTCATACAAGTAATTGAAGATGTTTCTTGGCATATCAGACAAATTACTTGTATGCACATTTGATACGGTATAGATGGATGGTTATTAGAATCTTCCTTAGTTTTTTCATTTTTTAAGGTTTTTCTCTGAATCTGATCTTATATGTATATAAAAGTGGTTTTGTTAAAAAAAATCCCTTTTTTGGTGGATTATATTGGAGATGAGATTTTAATATATAGTAAATAGCATATCTAAGAGCATCTTCAATAGATTTTCTAAAAAAATCTTCAAAATAGAGAGTTGAAAACCAAAATTTACAAATAGAATTTATATTCAACTCTAACAGCTTTTCTATTTTAAATATTACAACATTAATTAGATTATTAAAATATTCAATACATTCAATATCCAATAAAACTTCAAATAAATATTATATAAGATGATAATACAATGGAGGGAAAAAAACAATTTTCCAGTAACCATATTTAGAGAATTATCCAAATTTCGAGATTTTTAAGTTTCTCTTTTAGAAAGTTCTGGAAAATCTGTTAGAGAAGAAAAATAGGCTAGAATCTCCAGTCTCATTTTTCTTCATTTTGTAAAATCTGTTAGAGATGTTCTAAATCACTGTTGTCATTGGTGAAAACCCAATATATTGGTTTCCCTCAATGTCGCCTTATCGTCATCAACGTAGTAAAACTCAATCTCAAGTGATTGTGTCTTACGTATTCGGTCATAACAATCCAAATAATCATTGAAGCAAATGCGAACTTGAATCAATTCCAGTGCAAGTCACGCCCTTCGACCCCAAAGCACTATGCAACTAAAGAAAGAGATCCCTAAACTACGGTGCTAGTTTGGCTAGTTAGGGACCGTTTACCAAATGCTTACTCGGGTAAGCGTTTATCAAGTCACATTCCCTTATCGGATGAATATGCCAAAGACTAAGAATCTTACCTGGTAAGAGCGAATGCACGAACCGAAAGTCTTACCCGGTAAGCGATGAAGACAACTCTTACCACATTTAGAGCTTACCGGGTAATCGTTACATTCGACGTCGTTTTGGTAGACTAAAATCTTACCCGATAAGTAAAAGATAGACTTGAAATTTACCGTTAAGTGCTTACCGGGTAAGTGTTTAGGTAAACGGCCCCTTAGTAAATATCTGGAAGTTGCGAAAAGAACCAGAAATTAGCCTTCAAAATTCTTCCCAATGTGCCAATATATGGAAGTCACAGTATCATTGATGAATCACAGTATTGAAGTCCATATAAATACCTAATCTATTATGATTGGAACTACTTTTAAACCAGTTTGTTAGATCAATTATACTATTAACACGGATCTCAGATCTGTTTGACCTGGCAGTATGTGAGTCTTTGAGCACCTAGAAGGTCAGGAGTTCAAACCTCACAAAAAATGAAGAGGGTGTATGAGTCTATTTATTCTATTTGCTGTATATACGTTCAACCAGCATCCGATGGTTCCAAGTCTACTATTGTTCACTTTTGACAAAAATAGACAGGCGGAAATATCAATGATTCCAAATCCAACCAAATCATAGACAAAAGACCATGAGAAACATATTATAGCACCATCTTATGTTCACGTGACACTAGGTGAATAGAAGCATGTCCGCCGGTTCGTACCATAGCCATATACCACAGATCACAGTAAGCTAAAATCTGCAACAGCATATTAGAATCCACATGCACAGCCAAGACTGAAAGCAACAAGTTCACAACCAAATGCAACACCAATGGATCATAATGGTATGACTAAGCTATACAATATTTCCGATGCCAGATCTTCAGAGAAGTGTGATTCTGCAAACATCGTTCACAGTTTTTGCACACGGTACAAAATCTGTAGAAGAAGCAAAAGTACCATTGGAGGACCATCTTAACAGCTTAAGGAGAACTGACCAATCTCCATAACTGGAAAGAATTGGCCGTTGAGATCCATGATATACTCTTTATTCGTAGTTTGAGGCAGCCGGAATGTCTCTTCCAGGTACGTCCTGGTTCTGATAAGGGTTTCCACCGCCTACATTGGGAGCATAACCGTTTGGCCCTGGTCCAGATTGGTATGGCATTCCTCCATTGTTTGGTCCATACTGCGGCTGCTGCTGCTGGTAGTTGGGAGCGTTATTAGGCATCCCTCCACCCATGTTTTGAGGCCTCATTCCTCCCATGTTATTTGGAGGCATGGGAGGCGGTGGGCCTCCACTGTACGATGGAGGTGGACCCTGCCAGTTATTGGATTGACCTCCATGAAAATTGGGTGGCCCTCCCATGCCACCACCTTGTTGTCTTCCTCCCATGTTTGGTGGTGGTGCACCTCCCATGTTTGCGGGTGGACCTCCTCCCATGTTCGGTGGTGGTGCACCTCCCATGGTCGGTGGTCCTCCTCCCATGTTTGGTGGCGGTGCACCTCCCATGTTGGGAGGTCCTCCGCCCATGTTGGGTGGTCCTCCGCCCATGTTGGGAGGTCCTCCGCCCATGTTGGGAGGTCCACGGTTGTTTTGCATGTTCTCTCTCCTCCTTTCAAAATTTCTTGATCTGTCAAAGTTGCGAGGCCTGTCATTCCTCCTGTTCCTCTCATTGGCCCGAGCATTGTTTCTGATCCACTCCTCATGGTACTTTGGATCATATGGAACAGCTTTACCATCGATAAATGGTTCCCCTGATGCAAACGCAAACATTGTGAGCATTTATCTGATAGTCATACTACTCTTCGTCAAGAAATCATAATTCATAACACCAGAAACTATACCAACTATAATCAGTATAGTCCCTAATTAAAAAGACCCAAAAAACATGCTTTTCATCAGTTTCATCTTCATCTTGTAAGGTCTCATCAATAAAATAATTTTCGTAATCACCAGACTACAGACCACATATACACAGGAATGAAAAAAAAGAAACAAGTTTCAAGATTATAACAGCAAACCCGCAGATAACTACTAAACAATCAATAGAATGTGATACCTCCGTAATCCTTGTTCTTAACATCCAGGTAAGAATCAGGTAGCACCCAACGAACTCCGGGTAACTCTGATAAAAATAGCAAAAAGTACAAAATTTATTCGTCAGTAAACAATCTACAAAGGGTAAAATTGAAGAACTGAGAGATCCAATTACCTTTGATCTTGTAAGAGAGTTCTTCAGACACCAAGGCTCCAAAAGCATAATAGCATCTTGTTGAAACTGAGTAGATTTTCATCCTTGCTTCATCATAGCTAAAAAATAAACAGCAAACTTAATTCCAGCATAACTCCAACCAGTTTTTTGTAAGAATAACACGCACAAATCAATACAAAGACATCCAAGACCCGATCTTTTATAACTTATGCACTATCCAAAATACCTCCTTGACCCTTTCTTGTCATAACATGTGTATCATTATCCTAGCGATGCATACAATCAAGCTTTTTAGCGATATGAATACCATCAAACAATTTGTATAATCAAGCGTTAAAACTAAACGAATAACTAATTTCAGCAATAAAATGGTTTGAAATTTCCACGAAACAAACACGGTTAACCTGTATCAGACGGACGATAAATTTTCAATTTTCACAATAAAACATGAAATGATTCTCACCTGCCCACAACCTGAGCTAGGGTGTTGATATACGAATCAATTATCTCATCTCTCGTAGGCTCGCCTTCGGGTTTCTCCACCACGACAAGCCAGTGCTCAAAATCGCAACCATCAAGAAGAATCGTCTCCTTTGGGGGACGATTAGTCCAATTAGGGTTGGAATCATTCAGAGAAGATGTGGTCTGACGAGTAGAGAAAGCACGAACATTGGTCGGCGCAAGGGAGGACTGACGGAGATTGGCGGCAGCGATGGAGACGATAGGGCGGAGGCGTAGAAGATAAGAAGAATTAGTGGAGAAGCGTGGGATTAGGGTTTGATTGGCGGAGGAGAGAAGAGTGCGAAGGAGAAGGCGAGTCGCCATTTTTAGGGATGTCGATTGTCTGGTTTTTGGGCGTTTAAAACCCTAGTTATCGATGAGGGTTTAGAAGGCTCTTTTTCTAGACGATGAGGACAATGACGAAATTGCCCTTTGAGTGAGTCGGTACAAATATCTTCAACAAATTTACATAAATAGTCCCTGAACATTTTGTATATATTCTGTTTATAATTTTAAGAGCATGTTCTAATTTTGGTCCCTAAGATTTTATGAAATCTTTAAAAATCTAGAAATCGTCCTTGTCAAAGCAAAATAAAACCCATAAGGACGATTTCTAGACTTATCAAAGTTTAAGTTCCATTTTTAAAGATTTTATTAAACCTCAAGGATCAAAATTAGAGTTTACTATAATTTTTACAACAGTAATTTATTTGTCTAATTTTTTTTATTAACCTGGATATTCAACCCACTATGGGAGCTGACTAATCTCAGGACGACCACCTGCTTTGCAGATAGCCCGGAGTCACCGCATTTGAACCTCCATGGCCACAAAGGGAATTTTTATTCCTCTTTGGATTTGAATCGCATTCGACTTTTCGATTTTTCGTGTCTACCATTTCTGGTTATGTTGAATCGGGGGTCTTTTTATGTGTTATGTTCTTTGCTATTTGTTCTGCTTTTTTTGCGTCTTGCAAAAAGCCTTTGTTCGACTTCTGCGATATAAACATCGATTGCTCGATGACTCTACAACACATGTTCGATTATATCCACCAGCATTCAGACAAATCCTACAGTTTTCTCTTCAACACCATCTAAACATTTTAAACTCGAAACCCAAAAAAGAAATAGAACTTACGGGAACCAATCCGTCCCATAATGACTCTTGCACTTACTACATGTCTACAAAAAAATTGACACATCTACAATACTCGACCATTTTGGGCATCGATCACCAAGAATTCTCAAGTTAACCGCCCATTTGTACATCCTGAATAGCGAGCGTTTTTCTCAATTTCTTTAAAAATGATTATGATCATAAACGGGAGTAAGAACGGGGGCGCCTCGAGATCATCTATCAGTGATTGACGTGAAGGTCATGGTGGCATGCGATGACGACGTGTTTCCATACGTCGTGGAATCCTCGGGCTTTCCTGAGCCACTAGATGATGTACCTGATGTGTTATTTTTTGCGGTTTTGAAATTCTTGAGCTCGGATAGTAAGCCTGGATCGGATAAATCTTTTTCGTTAATACTCATTTCGTCTTTTAACATCCTCAAGGCATCAGACATGGATGGTCGGTTTTTGGGACGACTTTGAGTGCAAAGAAGACCGATCTTTAAGTACAAGCAAGCTTCATCCATATCGACATCCTTTCCCATTGAAGTATCCACCATTCTTTCTAGCTCTCCTTCCCTGTATTGTTCCCATACCTGAAAAGAGGAAATGTTAAGCCATAGAAAGTGTGGGCGTTCCAATCTTTTTGGAGGTTGTGTTACACATGTATCAAGACTATAGTAATCAATAAAAGAAACAATACAAATTCGTATCATATATTATAGTAAAAGTCTTACAAATTAAAGCAACAAAAATGTTTTAAAATGACAGTAACGTACGAATATCACTTTAATAGAATCATTTTTCTCTCATTCTTCGGAAGCATAATGGGTAATTACCAAATCGGGTAAAAGAGTAAAAGCCTAAATCATTATATTACGGCTAAAACGTTATAACTGAGTAAAGGTTAAATCTCACATTACAAAGCCCTAGGTACGGCTTGTTGAATCACCTCCAGAATCATATGATCAAATGATCAAAAAAATTGAGGGCTTTAGTCATTTTTTCCTGATTACCGCTCTATGACTAGATTCCTGATAAGGTATGTTAAATGGTGCCTCAATATCCTATGGTTTTTTGGATAGTAAATTTGGGCGCACAGCTTATACCCTCACGGATCACGGCCGCATAAAACATGCTTTTTGGAGACAGCAAGCTTTTGGGGGCGTGGTCGTGATCACTGTTCACAACTTTTCAGCAGATTTTCTTTTCCCTATATAAGGGATTGTGTCCCTTTTGCGATCAAACTTCTTGGGCCACGAAAATATGATTATCTTTGCTTGGAAGACTCGTCTTTGCCAACTACAACTTTCACCATTTTAGCTTCTTCAAGCTTACACTCGATATTTATCCCTTTTTGAGTGCTTTCTCAAAATAGATGAAGCTCATAGGATACATTCTCAGCTGATGAACATGTTTAGATATCTCCCACTTTATCTTTTCTATTTCCAAATAAACACACTCACCATAGTTGTGATTCTACTCCTTCAAGAGCATCTTAATCGTCATCTTTCACTGGTGAATTTCTCTCGGTGATCTCCTCCACCCGTGCTCTTGATTTGGGTTTCCACGTAGATATCGGTGTTTTCTTCTAACTCTATCTCTTTACTTTGTGTTGGATGCATATTTAGTAGGTGAATCATCGTATTTGCATGTTTTGGAATTTGTCTTGTACACTAAGAACACCCTTGAGTGTTCAAGCTAGAGATTCATTGGGATCACTAACTTATCCCTTGTTTGACTATGGTTAAACTCTCTAATTTGGATTAAGTTACATTATCTCCTTTCCGTTTTACAACAAGGTGGATACATAGTTGACGAATATGGTCATGCATTTAAGAATATTGTTTAGGGTTTAGGGGTAGTTGTGGCCGTGAGATCAACTTATAACTTGTGAAACTCCGAATAATGAACGCAACATATGCAACAACTGCATGGTAATAGAAATGAGTACTCGCATAACCAACCTATTCAGGGAGTCATTCTCTTGGATAGTGCAAGTTACTCCCTCTGTCCAAAACTATAATCCACAATGAAAAAGGCATATAGTTTTAGAATGTGTAATTATTTCACTTTTTAATTAACTGCATGAAAATTTACTCATAATAATAGAGGGAGTAATGAATTTCTTCATCCTTAATTGGAAAGTAGGCACTTACTTTTGAAAGTGGACACTTATTTTGGGACAAACTACAAATAGAAGCGTGAACCCTTATTTTGGGACAGAGGGAGTACATAAAAATGTGCATAATGGGAATTGAATGAAGAATTTACACGTTAAAGCAACGAATTTTCATGTTGTAATAGGAACTGAATGAAGAATTGCATACCCTTTCAAGAAGATATTGTTCTTCAATAGGTAAACGCTTGTTTTGGTTGGGTCTACCAGTAACAATTTCCAAAAGCAGAACACCAAAGCTGTAGATGTCTGCTTTCCTCGTCAACTGGCCTCGTATCGCATACTCAGGAGCCAAATAGCCTCTGCAATGAACCAATACCAAAATATTAGTACTACGATAAGGAACATGAGTCAAGGGGAACTTGTTAAATGAGGTTATACACACTTCACCTCCGTCCCAAAATAAGTGTCCATATTTCTATTTTAGTTTGTTCCAAAGTAAGTGTCCACTTCAAAAATAATGGTGTCCCTTTCTGTTGTGGACATTTATTTTGGGGTATAATTGAAATAGTAAAATGGCAACCACACTTGAACAGTAAAATGTTGCACAAAAAAAATCAAATATCTGCACTAGGTGTTTAGGGGCAGGTTCCTTTAGAAACCGGGGACCCCCTATAGTACGACACGTGGCATATTCATCAGGAATATGTATTCATCTTGAATGTTGTAGCATATTCATAATGAATGTGTGATTCATGATGAATAGCACGTCCATATTCATCACGATTGTGTGATTCATGATGAATAACACGTCCATATTCATCATTAATTTGTGATTTATGATGATAAACACATCCATATTATCATGAATATGATGAATATTCATCCTGAAGAGGGACATGTGGCACACTGTGGGCTGTTCCAAGGTTACAAATCAATTTTGGGTTCCGAACAAAACTTCCCTCCGGTATTTAATGCCTGTAAAAGCTGAGCACGCCACCTTATTCTGATGAGGGGTGTCATCAATCATATGGCAGTTTCTTACGAATATAGAGTGAGAGGTGTTGAGCTTACTGAGTTCCTGCAATGCGCGTGCTAACATGAGTCAGATGAGAGGGGAAAAGCTTTGCTAGACCAAAATCTGAAATCTTTGGGGTAAAATCTTCATCAAGCAAGATATTGCTTGCCTTGATGTCCCTATGAATAATATGAGGTTGCACTTCCTCATGAAGATAAGCAAGCCCCTTGGCGACACCGATGCAGATCTTCCTTCGAACTTCCCATGTAAATTTAATGCTACACTGACCACTCCCTACGCATGACAGACCAAAATTCTTCAAGAGAACACCAAAAGAACAAACCGCATTACAGATGAAGAACAGTGTTTCAATTACCAAGTAAAGTTTGATCTACACTACCATTTTTAAGATAGCCATAGACCAAGATTCTATGATCTCCTTCCACGCAACAACCATGCAACTTGACCAGGTTTTCATGTTGTATGTCTGAAATAACAGTTATCTCAGTCATGAACTCTCGCAATCCCTGCCTAGACTCAGCACCAAGAACCTTTACAGCAATTACTGTGCCATCTTTTAGCATACCCTAAAGATTCTTTAAGAGATCAGAAAGTAGTGTTTATCTAAATATGAAGAGGGTTGATTTGAAATATTTGTAATTACCTTGAACACGGAACCAAAACCCCCCTCCCCAATCTTATTTTCAGGTTTGAAATCTTCGGTTGCAAGTCGCAAATCTCTGTATGTATAAAATCTCATATTCTCAACATCCAAAAGTTCTGCATCCAAAACGTAATCTAATAAGATGCTTTAGCCAGAGAGTAAAGACACACCAACATTTAGAAACCACGAAATCTACCTCGATGCATGTGACTTCTTTGTGCATTTTAATCTGACATTGAGAAACTTTAAACTAAAACTTAAAAAGCATAATAGATGTATAATTATCTCACTCATAAGTCTTTCTATGGATAAAAGTTCTTTGTGGAGAAAGTCTTCATGGTGATGGTCCGATAACCCCAAATACTTGTTATATATCAAAGCTAAAAGACAAAGGTTATTGGACACTCATGAATTATAGGCTTTTAATATAAGCACATTAGAAGACTATTAGCCTATTTCATATGGTTACAAATTTAATTCTACCGTAGACAAACCATTTATGTCTTTTAAGATGTTCATATTTTCCCATGCATGCACCTAAACTTTCAATGAAAGCCACTAACCCTTTTAGAGCAGTTATGTTTCATAATAAGAAAGCATTGAGTAAATACGAAAAACTTTGAGCATTGCGTTTGGTACATGGGACCGGACAAGGCAGGACAAAACAAAACTCAATGTTCCACGTTCGTGGTGACATGAGACAAAACAAAAACTCATTGTTCCATGTTTGTGATGACATGGGACAAGGACATGCTACCTATTCGGGCCAAAAATGGGACAAAAACTAATAAATTACTAATCTACCCTCGTTTGATATAACCTTACTATCTAATTTGTTTTAAGGGTCACCACCGCCCATTGCCTCCAACACCAATTATGTCCTATCCGGTCCTGTTCAGTTGTCCTGTCTAGTCCAATCATGTATGTGTACCGAATGCTACCTAAATGATCTTAGCAGGTGGTCTAACTTACCTCTACTAACATCAAGGTGGTTCCCCCGATTGTTTGCTGAAAGTTTCCAAGAAAATTGTTAGCATCACACAAACTATTATTATCATGTAAGTGGAAAAAGAGTTGAAGAAACACTACTTGAAACATGAATTACATATAAATTCCGTTACCTCTATGATCATCCACCGTTGAGGAAGCTACCTTCCCAAAACAACAACTAAACTTAGTCATGGCAAGGAATTCTCTATTTTAACAGGGATGATTATGTCAAATGCCTGTGAATGCCATACCAAAATGATTCGGTAAGTGCAAAAGGATGTCATGTGTCATTGAAGAGGAAAGCAAAAATACATATAACCTGTAAATGTATATATACACACACACAGAAAACAAATCAAATGCAAACCACTGGAAGGTTACAATCCATACAAACCAATCACAACTAGAATATTTGGCTTCATGAATATATCGAAAGCGTTGATCATAATTAAAGAACTCAAATCATCTTCCATAAATATTCAAATCATAATAAATGAATCTTGATCATTTCCATAAATATATTAATTGATTGGTTTTTATGGTTTATACCTTTCCATAGTTTGTATCTCTCTCTATATATAACAGAAATTATCATTCTACAACATAATGCAACAAAAATTCAAAATCAACAACATAAACAGGACCAATTTAATCTCTTACAGTTACATGAGCAAAGTAATAATCATTGCATTAGCACCTCAACCAGAATGGCAACAAATAATGAGTGAAAGTACTAATTAATAAGTATGCAATCTGAAAGCATACTTTTTCTATAAAAATAAACACCCTTGGTAGTAATTCTCTGTTTTCCTTCTAAAATTTCCTCAAGCCTAACTAAAATTCATGTTGAATCAGTAAAAAAAATCCATTAAATTACAATAACCTTATCCAAATACAAACTCAAATAATTTGATACTATATCTACAACATAATTTTCAAAACAAAAAAAAACCCATACGTACCTAAAGAAACCAATATCAATACCGGAACCTGGATGAAAACGAACACTAAAAAGGTCAAAGATATCGATTTCCGAGGAAGTTCATACAGTCTAAAACCGGAATTTCTGTAGAAAATCCCAAGATAAGAGGCGTGTAAATGAATCAAAACATCTGGTTCATCCGTACAAGGGTAGGTACAAATAGGGGAAGATGATATGAAATCAAAGAAGAAAGGATCTAGCTAAGATGGCTGAGGATGAAGGAATGAATTGATCAACAGGAGTCGCCATTGTCATGTAATGAAGCAATTAGAGGCGTGTGCAGCGAGTGGAGAAAGGTCAATAATGAAGAATTTGGAACGGCGATGCGTCCTTTGACTTTTGGTCGAAGAAGACTCTTTCGTTCTCACATATCGCTCTTCCACCTCAAAAAAAGTAGATTCAACTTCATATAAATAGATTTTATACATTTAAAATTAAAATTAATCGACAAATTACATAAATAAATAAAAAACGTAATTTAACTTGATTTTTATTTTGTATAGCATATTTTTATACCTTTTATTTTGTTATCTAAGATGCAAAAATTTTAAACATTTAATAATCAGTTGAAACATTAACCGATTATCATGTTGATGTGGTATCCAACTCAATATCATTTGTTAACGTGGTTAGTGACATAAATTTTTTAAAATTTAAAATTAGTCTTTTTTAAATTTAAAATTAGTCTTCAACCGGTTATTTAGGTACCAAAATGAAAGTTCTGAAAGTTCTAAAAGTACGTTATTCAAAATAAGAATCAAATTAAAATATGTTACATTTTTATGTTACGTCGGAAGAACGAAGCAATGGCCTTTACCACCATGTACACCACCTGGGTCCATCTTTGCATGTACCACTATGTTTTCTTTTAAAGTATATAATATTTATAGACAACAAATTAGAACAAATAAACTCACATACTTTATTCACATTTGGTGAGGTTTGAAACTCTTTGACATGTTAGGAGGCCAAAGACTCACATACTATTAGACCAAAGGTCATTTGGTTTATTTCTCACTGTAATATGTTTACAATGTAATTTTTCTTATATAAAATTGTTTTGTTTTGTTTTATATTGGATAACATTTTCACCAGTGTCGATATTTACTTGTAGATCGTAGTTATAGCTGACAATTCATTATCAGTACATAGCTACGATGGACATGTTAATTGATTTCAGTATTAGTTATCAATTGATCGAAAAGTCATATTGCCAATGCTTACATCAATTAACCAATGTCGTAATTGGTTTGTGGGTTTGATGGAATTTAATTTCATTTCAATCTCATGTTTGGTGTAAAAAAGGTATGGAACTGAAATCCCATAAATATTGGATTCAAAAATCTCACAGAAATAATTGGTATTTTATTTTAATAAACTTGATTTTCAAATTAAAAAAAATCTTTATACAAATTTATCCCCCCCCCCCCCTTTCTTTAAATTAGCCTTTATGTAAATGTTAAAATATTTATATAAACTCTAATTGAAATATGAATTAAGTTATAAAAATGACAAATTAGGGGTTGTTTGTTTATCTCTTAATAGTTTCATTAAGAGGCAACATATGAATCGTTAAGAGGTGAAAATTGTTTGGCATAAAAAAAGTCAGTCTCTTAATGGTTCTAAAATCCTTTGAATAATTTTGTATCTTGGATCTCCCTTAACCATTAAGAGCCCTAATTTCATTGTACACAATTACCAAACAATTATATTTCATTTTGTATTATATCATGAGAGCCTCTTAATCATTCTGGTCACTTAATCATTCTACACCAAATCATTCAGCAATTGCCAAACATTAATAGCTCTATTTTCTTAAAAAAAGGTAGTTAAGAACGTCAATCATTTTAATCACTTTTTTTTCAAATATGGCAATTTTGTTATTTTATAAAAAAAAAGATTTTTCTAAAAGAATAATGAGAATTTCTTTGTGGACCACATAACATAAGCCTCATGTATTTGAATATTACATCATATTATCCCCAACAACCCATTTTCAACGCTTAATGTGGTGAATGAATGTACAAAAATACCCTTAAAAATATACTATTTAAATTTTTTTTAATGCTTAATTATTTATGAAGTACTTAAAATATATCCAAATAAAGAAAAGGAATCTTCTTAAAATTTATTCTCCTTAATTCAATTTCAACGAGCGCTATATTTTATTGTATAAGTGGTTACGTTCGGTAAGCACTCTAAATTATTACATTTTAACGTAACTGTCATAAATTTGATATTTTGTTATACGTGGAAAATGTGGAATGGTTGACTTGAATTCGGTGATGTTATCTAGAAAATCAACTACATATATTTGATTTTGATTTCAAGTAGTTTCACAGTTATTATGTTCAACGTGTTTATGAAATCAATCATACACCTTGATCGGTTCACGTGTTTATGAAATCAATCAACGTGTTTAAGTGGATTTTTTACGGATAATTACTTGAGATTTCATGGACCCATGGACTATTTAGATAAAATGTGTTAGATGTCACTGTAAATAAAAAGGGAAAAAATGTAAATTGATTTTTTCAACATTTCGGAATTGGTAACATAAAAGTACAACAATTAGTTCATAGGTTCGACTTATCGGTTATTATTACATCTCTAACAGATTCTTCAAAATGAAGGTTTTGGAGATTTTGGGGATGTTTTTTGCTTCATTATGTTCTCTAAAACCTTATATTCAAAAGGGCAAACTGTATGAAAAAATATGTCACCCAGAATAGGAATCAAGTTAAAGTACATTATTTTTTTTATGCAATTTGCCCTATTCACAATGGAGAAAAAGTAGAAGAGAGTGTGTAAAATTCTCCAAATTTGAAGAATTACTAAAAGGGCAAATTGCATGAAAAAGTAACGTACTTTAACTTGATTCCTATTTTGGGTAACGTACTTTCAAAACTTCCATTTTGGTACCTAAGATGTAAAGTTTTAAACATTTAAGTACCCATATTCTTTTAAACTTATTATAAATTCTTTTGAAGTTTCATTTTCATTTTCATTCCCCCTAGTTTAACCTAGAATCAAAACTTGGGCTTCTAGCATAATGAGTCCATTATGTTGTATAAAATCAAATAGTTTCTTTTATTTTCATTCTCATTGATTACTGCCTAATGCCTCTAAGCAAACACCAATTTATTCTTTTATTAAATAATTGTCAACTTACGGGTGCTTATCATACCCCTATAAACTACACAACCCATCTATACCATATAAAAACATGCAGTTTACAACTTTCACTTATAGTATTCAATTTGTATTCTTTTTCAAACCACGCTAGCGACCATCCGCACATCACATTTGCTCTTTGAGGTATCTACGGTTTGGTTTGTGGTTTGGGAAGAAAAAAACTCAACCTGCTTACGCGGTTTGCTTTCCGATTTTGTCTTATACTTTGCATTCTTACATAAACAAATTTGGGCAAAAAAAAGTTGATTATCTGCAACCCAAATGGTCCTATACGAAACCCATATCCAAGGACACTAATGTGAGGGACATTTTCTTGACTCACTCAGCGATTGAAGCAATCATCCAAGGGGGGCTGAGATTAAACCCATGACATGTTTTGTATTTGGGTAAAGTTTTCCACCTTTTTGTCAACTGAACTACATGGTAAATCATGGCCTCATAGGGAAGTATGAAAAATTTCAACGAACTTTTATATTTTGTATGATTAAGTCCCATATTTTTTGAACAAATAAAATTTTGGATTTTATATAAATAAATCAAGAGCAATTAAAAAAGGGGGTTTTAGATTTTTCTCATAATTTTACCATATTAACTAGTTTTATGAGTTAAAAATAATCTATTTAATCGGTTTTAGAATGTTCATTGATTTTTATTTGTGCAATTGTTCAGCGGGTAAGCATAAAGGTTCTCCCGTTAAGACCGACTACAACAAGCTCCACTTCTAAGAAATCAATCCATTTTTGAAACTTAAATTAATCGCTCAAAATCAAAAAAATCTGTCGAGATCTTCCCGAGTAAGCATTTGGTAAACGACTCAAACTAAAAAAAATACAAATTTATAATTATTGTTGCCCTAGTGGGAGGGTATTGAAATTCAATGACAACAAGAAGTAGGCCAAGAGAATTTGTGGGATAATTTTGGCAAGTGGCTAAAACTACAAATATATATATATATATATATATATATATATATATATATATATATATGTAATAAATGCTTTTAATATTTTTACTTTTTGTAATCTAAAATATTTATTCACCATTGTCTTATATAGAGAGTTATTTGGGATCATGTGAGACCAAAGGTTTTTCGTGAGACCCGTAAGACCAATTTTTAACCATTAGATTAGATTTATAATCTGAATATTAATATTCACGAAATGGCCATGCGACTTCTCAATAATTACAAAATTGTCAATGTGAAACTTTAGACCATTAGATCATTAGCTTATAAAATTGATCAATGAATATAAATTGATCTTACGGGTCTCACGAAAAACAATTTAGTCTCACGTGAACCCAACCATATATATATATATATATATATATATATATAGGGTATATTTCAAATGCAACCATGTCCATTTATACAACCAATACAACCCAATTAATTGAGATATTTATAGAAATGATGAGAGTTTATTTATTATGATTTGAATATTTATGGAARATGATATGGTTCATTAATTATGATCAATACTTTATATTAAGAAACAATCAAAACTTCTATGAAATTACATATTCATCAACTTAAATGGACGGTTGAGATTGAGTTGTATTGGTTGTACAAATGTAAAGAGTTGTATAATAACCAACCTCTATATATATATATATGTACTATCTATCTATCTGTATAAACTCAACCATTAATAAAAACAATTTAAACCAATTAATTAAGATATTTATAGAAACTTAAAATTTATTTATAAGGATTTAGATATTTGTGAAAGATTATCAGAATTCATTTATTATGATTAACGTTTAATATTATGAAACAATCAAAATATTCATTAAATCATATATTCATTAGACAAATTGGATGGTTGAGATTGATTTATTCTAATGATTGAGTTTGTAAAATCAAACCACTTTGTATAACCAATGCAATTCAATCAATTAATATATTTATGAAAATGATGAGAGTTCATTTATTATAATTTGAATATTTATGATAGATAACTAGGGTTCATTAATTATGATCAACACTTTATATTAAAAAACAATGAAAACTTTTATGAAATCACAATATCACATATTCATCAAATTAAATGGACGGTTGAGATTGAACTGTATTTGTTGTACAAATGTAAATGATTGCATAATAACTTATATATATATATATATTATCCGTAGTTAAGAGTATATAATTTGTTAGTAATATCTTTGATTTGCTATAATATACGACTTAGAGAAAACTAGTTACACGTATATGTATTTTTAATATATTCTTATAAGTAATAATAGACGATACATTGAAGTAATATATATCAAATAATATTTTTTTTGAACGGTATCCATTTACTAAAACTAAATTCTCAATGTCTGAATGAACAATACAATTTAAGTGTTCTTCCACCGTCATAAATTGCATATGTATGAATGAACACTATAATTGAAGTGTTCTTCCATTATTATAAATTGCATATGTCGTACCATGACATTAAACGACCTATATGTAGGTGTAGGTCCAGTATGAGATCGTGACGTGATAAAACAAAAGATAATTAAAAATTTAAGACACCCATGTAAAAGAGCTGAAAATTTTGTGGCTTCTAAAGGCTTCAACTCGTGCTTGTGCTCGAAATGTTTCTCCCGTTGCATAAACGACACCGCCTACCGCAACGTGTGGGGGCCATCTCTGAATGATTTGCCAATGGACGACTTTGTTTGTAGGTTTGAAAGGTTCAAATTCACCATAAATTTGGTCAACATGTCATGTACCATTCCAAAGTCATAGTAGTAATCATATGAATGAACATGATTGTTGAATACATATTGATTTTAAGTAAAGTTTTAATGAGTTCGTTTGTTAGTGACTGACGATGATTTTTATGAGATTAAGGGGGTATTTGGGATTGCTTATTTGAAACAACTTTTGTTTTTCTACAAAAGCACTTATCAACTTATTATACTTTAGAAGAGTTTAACTTCTTCAAAAACTTCTTATTACCGGTTTGGCACCGGTATAAGTTGTTTATCCAAACACTCAAAAATACTTATTACAGGTATCACACCCGAATAAGTCAATAAGTTGTTTTTATAAGCAAACCCAACCCCTCCCCCCTAAGAACATGCCTCTAACTATTTTTAAGCCCTCGTAATTCTATTCCGTTAGGTCACAGGTGAATTGGTGAGGTCAAATTTTAGTAAGAGGTAAGATACCTCAGCTGTATTTATAGTTTAATAACTGATCTTTTAAATCAATTATTAAAACCATCTAATTTTTGAAAGCTGTTATAAGAACCATTCATTTTTTCGAGAACTGTTTAAAATCATTCTAACTTTGTTGTATATTACAAGTTTTTGATGTCAAAATTACTCAAAATAATAAAACTTGAACACTGTAATGATTATAACGACTTTAAAGTTTCATGAACAAATGAAACAAAACGTGTTATCATTTTAAAGACGGAATTTATAATTTACTCTTTCAATTATAA